GTATTTGTCTTCAATCTCATTAATTCTGTCTTCTATTGCATCAATTCTACTCCTTTGCCTTTCCAATGTATTATATATTTCTGACAATTTAGTATTAATCTTCTGGATTTCTATCTGTAGATTTTGGATCATTTCTAATTTTTCATTTAATTTGTCATTTTGTTCTTGTATTTTCTTCCAAAATTCTTCTAGAGTTTTGTCTGTCCTTGGTCTGTGTCTCAATCCTTTGAAGATACCTAAATATAATTCTTTTGAATTCCTCATCAGAGAGTTCCAATGCTGCTTCTTCCTCAGGGATGTGTTCTGCATCTATATCCTGTTCCCTTTTTTCTACCCCTTTATCTTGCTTCTTTGTGTGGACTGTGATGGTCTGTTGTCTCCGAAACATCATGGCATTGTTGTATTTAGATCTCTGTTCATTGTTTTTGAAGAGCAGCCAAGTGTGAGTCAGCCTCTTCTTTGTAGTTGTTTGTCGTTGGCCTGTTGGTGGAGAAGGAAGTAGTGGTTTTCACTCAGTAAGTGAAGTTGCAGGAATTGTGGTTGTAGTTCTGTCGTATGGGGACTACTGCTGTCTTCCACTCTGTTAGACAAAAATAACAATTGAATAACCATAAAAAAAAAAAAAAAGCAGATGGACAAGAAATACACCGTATAATTATACAGGAACAGTAACCGAAAAAAAAGAATAAAAGGGAAAAAGAAGAAGAAAAAAAGAAAAAATCCAGCAATATCCAGGGAGAGGGCAGTAAGCACAAAAAAGGTAGAGAAGTAGAATAATGATGAATAAAATGGGAAAAATGCAAAAAAAAAAAAAAAAAACCCACAAGGAACGGGGTTAACCATGAGACAGAAAAAGAAAAGATTGCAACCAGGAACAGGGAAAAGTAAAAAAGCTGAAAAGTAGGACCTGTGAGGGGAAAAGTGAAGACTAATAGTAAAAAGGACAAAAGTAATAATAGTAATGTTGTTGTTGTTGTTGTTGTTGTTGTGTGCCGTCGAGTCGGCCCCAACTCATAGCGACCCCTCCTTGGGTTTCCGAGGCAGTATCACTACGGAAGTAGGATTGCCCAACCTTCCTTCCGAGGAGTG